CCTGCTTTTTCTATTTGAGTCCCTCTGAGCCAGTGATTGGCAAGTAGTGAGGTCATTGACTAGGAAATCAAGTCTCTCCACTTGTTTACCCAATTAGCAGAAGCCAATCTGCTCTGCTATTCATTCTCTCTCTCTCCCTCCCTCCCTCCGTTCCGTACCTCCCTGCCTCCGTGTTTCTCTCTCTCTCTCTCTCTCTCTCTCTCTCTCTCTCTCACACACACACACACACACACACACACACACACACTTGCAACTCAGACAGAGACTATTCTTGTGCAGACAGATGGACCCATGCACGATGCATGGTGAGAGAAATTCACTGTTAGAGCAAATCCAGCAAGGGAAAGACACCACTAAGCATTCCAGGTTCCCGGTCTTTCTTATATTCAGAATCTCCCCTGGAGGGAGTTAAGAGGCAAGGCGGTTAAGCACTATGGGCTCCCTCTCCAAGACCCCCACCTTACCCATAAATCAGTTTTCAATCTAACCCCTCCCTGGGGGTTGAGTTACAAACCTCAGTAACCCCAGGGCAGCCTGCCTGGTAATTCCTATTATTCAGCTGTCAGCTGGTTTTATAAAAACCTCCCTTCCCAGTGATCCAGTTACCAGAGTTTTAGAGCCCATTCCTTGTCTCAGAGAGAAATCCTATAGCCAGGTAAAACAATGGAGAGGGCTCCTGCCCGCTGTCTACAGGGAGCTGGGTTTTCTCTTCTGTTGAAAGCGTTCCCCTTAACTCTTTGTGTCCCTCCCAGATTGTGGGGGAAGGTCTGCCTCCCTTTCAGGCTTGCTTGCCAATGCCATTCAGAGCAACTTAGCTTTTCTCTGGATAGCCTCCTTCTAGAGCCAGCATCAGTCAGCAGAGGAAAAAACAATTTTGGGAAAGGGGTGGCAAGAGAGAGAAAGGAAATTCTCCAACATAAAGGCTTCTGCGGCTGCAATGTGCATTTGCTCTGAGCCCAGTCAAAAGCCCAGAGTTCTTCTGTTACTAGGGTGCTGCCATTCGACAGGGGGCTCAAAGCCCAGCTCTTCAGCTCTGCATGTCCTGACACTGCTGAGTCTGCCCTGTGCTGGAAGGGGAGAAAGGGCACAGAGGGAGGGGTCTGCTTTGACAATGATGAGAGGTGGGGAGTGAGGCTCCTGACCTCCCTGACCCCTTTATCCCTGACAGTCTTTTCTGGGCTCTCTGGCTCAGAAGTCTGGGCCCCTGCTGTTTGACCTTAGAGGCTGAGAGCACAGGAGGCCAAACCACCAGGTGTCCTTTAGAACCAGCCTGAGGGGGCAGCCTGGGAAAGCCTGGGAGAGAGGTCTTAGAAGAAATGTCACTAGAACGTGTGACCCTCCCTCCATCTTGTAAACTGCCCAGACCCACTAAGATGATCTCCTCTACTCCCTGGCCCCATTACCCTACAATGGTGATTTTTAACCTTTTATAGGGTCACAGACCCTTTGGGAAACTGTTGTAAGCTATGGAGGCTCCAAAATGTTCCTGTGAACTCATAAACACTATTACCGAGTTTCAGGGGTTCATATGACCCTAAAGCTGAGAAGACCCTGGTGAGTCTGGTGAATACATGGATCCCAGGTAAAAACCCTGCTCTACCAGCTTCCTTGTCCTGTGGACTGAATTCCACCTTATAGGGCTGTGATGAAGCTGACAGAGCTATAGCAGATCCGGTGGGTCAGGAGAATTAGGGTAACCTCTGCCCTACCCCAGGGATCTGGGGGTGGGCAGAGGACAGAATCAGAGCTGCTTTGTCCTTCAGTTCCACTCTTGGCCCAAAGTAATTCCCATGGTCATCTTTAGCCAGCCTGAGACACTAGCCCAGGAAGAAAGCCAATAAAAAGGATGGAAGGAAAGAAAGGAAGAAGATCTGTGCATGGTGAACATGATGAGGGCTCCCAGAACCCTGCACAGAGGCTGGGCTTGGTCTCCATCTCCCCACATGTGGCATGACTGGCTTTGACACTCCCTCTAGCCAAGCCTCCCAGTAAAATAATGTACCTCCTTTTGGCTCCAGCACCTTTTATTGGATATCCGTCAACCCCTGGGGGGACTGGGCTCCTGGCCAACCTTGACTCACCCTTCTTTCCCTTTTTACTCTTCTCCACCCTTTGGGGACAGTGTTTTCTTATTCTAGCAACTGCAGCCCTCAAAATGCCTGGTTCACTCTCTTTGAGGTGCCCTTTGAGGGAGCTAGGAAAAAGAATGGGAAGGTAGAAGGTACAAGGTGACTTCAGGCTCCTCTGGGCTAAGGGTCCCAACTCCACTTAAATCTGTCTGCATTTACAACTCAGGGGGAGCAGCTTGGTAGTTAGAGGACTGGCAGTCCTCACTGCCCCTGGGGTCAGGCCCCATCATCCGTCACCTAGTCTGTTGCAGGGACTGGCTCCCTCTCGCTGACTTCTGGCCTCATTTATCTTCCCTAAAATTTGGGCTTGGTCAAGTCACTCAACTTCTATAAAATTAATTCCCCTTTGCCTCCAGAATAAAGTACATATTCCCCCACCTGGCATTCTGGGGAAACCTCTGCACTCTAACCTGAATGTGTCCATGCTCACCCTTCCTAAATCCCAGTGTGCACCTAATGATCCCTTCCTCTACTCTGCTAGGACAGTTTCTCCCGTTGAACACTTTATTCTGCTGCCCCTAGGCCAGGGCTGTTTTATCTGATTGTCCTTATTGAAAAATGTCCCCATCCTTTAAGACCCAAATCAAAAGCCATCTCCCTGAAGCCTTTCCTAGTCTTTGCCTTCTGAATTTTCTACATCTTCCAGAAGTCATTATCCCTGAAATTAACACATTTCATAGTACTTTCCATTATTTTCAGTTCTACCTATCCAAGTAGATTGTAAGCTTCTTGAGGGCAGGCACAAGGTTTTTGGTACCTAACCCAATATCTGGCACAATATAGGTGCGCAATGTTGTTCGTGAATAGCCCAGAGAGTCCCTTATTGATAGTATGCAATCTATCTGCAGGACACATTGCCCTCATGGCAGCACCAGCACCATCTCTGGATGCTACCATAAGCAGTTGTGTGTCAACTGCCTAAGCAGTCCCTGCATTCTTGATCTCTCCTCTTCTCAGCCAGGTACTTATTTTGTCAAGAAGTGGACATAAGGGTTGATTTGGATGAGTTCGATATGAATGTCACTCAGTAACAGCACCAGACACACGTGTTCTCGAGCTTCCTACAGATTTGGGGCTGGAGTTTTCTCCTGACTCCCTCAGCAAGCAGGAGAGTGCTTTGCCATGCTCCCGGGATCCACCTGCGCCCACTGGATGCTGCCAGCTGCATCTAAAACTCCCCATCTCCTCTTCCCCCCTCCTTTTCTGGACGCGCAGTATTTATTCAGCCCATTCCCGAGAAAGGGAAGACAAAAGTCATTTTGGCGCCCCCTCACTCGCTCCTAATCAAGAGGACTCGGGGACTCTCCTGCGCTTCCAGAGCCAGCGATAGGAACCGAATCAGCGAGGGCGACAGCGCAACAATTGCGTTTCTGGCGGGTGTCAGAATTTTGCTCGGCCCCTTGCAATGTTTCCAAGGGAAGGTTCGTAGATTCGTGACCGTCCCTGGCAGGCGCCCAGCCCGGGACTTGGGGCTCCACTTACTATTGGCCAGCCGTCGGCGTGACGCGCAGGAGGCGGGGCCTCATCAGCTGTTTGCGGGATGCCCCGAGCGGACGTATTTTGGAAACAATACCGCGCGGTGCGCAGTGACCTCCTCCCGCGCTCGCCCGCCTGCTGCCGCTGCCGCCCCCGCTCGCTCCTCCCGCCTCCCGCCTCCCGCCGCAGCCCGGTGAGCGCCCGGGCAGCCGGGAGCCTAGCGGAGTTGGATCGCACCTCCTCGGGGAAGTGGGGAGAGGAGTCGCGCTGCGCGTGGGGGCCGGGGAAGGGTTGGGCTGCGGGGCGTGTGGGGTGACCATGAAGGACTGGGGCGCTGGGCTGCGGGAGTGGGGTGCAGAACCCACATCTAGGTGCACTGCTCCACGAGGCGACTTCGGGGTAGTAGCATTTGAGCGTCCAAGGAGTTGGGTCCAGGTGGGCGGGGGAACCTGCGGTGCACTGTTGAGCCGACCTAGGCTCCCGAGAACTGCACGGCCTCTGGATCTTTGGGGTAGGACAGGGAGTGGTGGGGCATTCTGCCTCCCTGCGGAGTCTGAAGGCTCCTCTCCTTAACAGCTGGGCTTTTCCCCTCCTTCCCAATTGAGTCTGGGCGCCAAGCCCCCGAGTGTTCGTCACGCTGGACCCTGGCGCGGAGCCCTGGCATCACGACTCGGAAGCTGAGACTCTCTCCTGGAGTCACCCAGGTCTGCTGTGTGTTGTGTGCGTGCGTGCGTGCGTGCGTGCGTGCGTGCGTGTGTGTGTGTTACCAGACTTTTGCCCCTGTCGAGGTTCAGAGTGCGTGGCTACTGCCTTCTTGGAGGAAGAGGAGTCGTGTAAGTTCAGCATCCCTGTTAGAGCCTTTAGGGGCTCAGATGGCTCCAGCGAGCTTTAGTTCTCCTTGCTAGGAATAAAACCTTCCCTGGCAGTGCTCTCAGGGAGGGCCCTGCTCCTACCAGTTTGGACATCACCTCTTCAGCTCAGGGGTGGGGGAGAAGAGCGTAAAAAATTACACTTGACTTTGCACCCCTCCCGAGGCTCCCACCTGCAGTTACTGTGGAGTGTGAGAAGGGTCTCCCGGGCTGGTAGAGCCACACCCTCTGGCTGCACCTCCCCCACTGTTCAGTCCAGGCAAGGGTTGAACTTTGGGGCTTTGCTGGGAGGGGGAGGGGGAGGTGACGGGCTTCAAAGGAAGAACCAAGACAATGACTCCTGCATGTGATTGGCTTTGGAGGGCCCCTTCTTAGGTTGGGATTGCCAGCTTGCTGAGAGGAGGTTGAAGGGCAGAAGGAGAGCCCCTACCAGGTGACTGGCAGGACAGCTTTTCTTCCTTTCAG